CCCCAAAACCCCAAAACCCCAAAACCCCAATAGAACATCAATAGATTGAAAATAGAATTTTCAAAACTCTATTAGTTTGGTAATCTTGGCTTAACCAAGATCACATCCCCATGGTTTGGGCCTAACAACTTGAGCTGTATATGGTCAAGGCCAAAACTTTCTCTCATCAGTTCAAGTTCATTCTCAATTTTGTGTGAAAATTTTGATTCAAAGGTACCGTTTCAATTACCTTTTAATTGATCTATGTCAAAGTCTATTGAAAATAAAATCTGAGCAACTCATTTGCCAAACTCTGTTTCTGAAATCTTGCAGAAAAAGTTCTCAATAAATGAGCCTTTAAAAGAGTCATTGCCTGTTGATTCATCTCTTTGATTGTCAAAGACTAGATTTATCTTTTTAGACTTTGGAGTGAAATGCAACTTCTTTTGATCCATTTCAATTGAGCACTTATTTCAACTCAAAGTGAGTCACTTTGTTCAAGCTGACCAAAAGCATATTGAGTTGCCTCTTATTAATCCTGAAACGTGACAGACGGAAGAAGGAAATAGAGTTGCACATGATCTTGATTATAGACCTCATATACAACCGTATATAAAGAAGGGGAGAAGAAATAGCATTGAAAAATTCAAAACTATTGACTTCTGCATTCTCAATAGCTTTAAGGAACCTAGAAATATCCAACCCTGTGTCAGATCTATCTCTTCTGATATAAACTTCGCTAGGGCACTCTTGAGGGATTTTTAGAAAATATTTTGGCTTTCAAAATTGCTTGATTTGGAACAAAACTTTACGATCCGCTAAACAATAATAAAATGATATACCACTTCTGAGAACTCTCACATTGTCCTTATAACCATTTACTGTGATGACATACTGGTCTATACCTCCAAAGGTGTCTGCATCTAGGACTTTCTCTTGAGCTACAAGACGAGATTCTCAACTATTCTCATATTTGCTTTTACCTAAATTTTCCATTTCTTTGATTAAATAAGGGGTTTTGGGGTTTTGGGGTTTTGGGGTTTTGGG